GACACAGTCTGGGAGGGTCCCCAGTGCAGGAGAGCATCTACACCTTCCCGGAGTACATCACCTTCCTGGTATGTGGATGTGTTCCCCAACCTGGAAGCTCCCTGATTCCCCCACCATTGGGATTTTACGGAGACTCCCTCACATAGGCATGATCAATTATTCACTCGGTTTCCAGTCTTTTTCCCTTCTCTGGAGGGGCGGGGCTGGAAATTTCAAGCTTCTAATCATGGCTTGGTCTTTCTGGTGATCATTCCCCATCCAGGAGCCATCCAGGAACCCACCCAGAATCAATAGAACAGTGGAACAAAAGATGTTTCTAGTGTTCTTATCACTTAGGAATTTATAAGGGTTTTAGGAGCCTTATGTCAGTGATGAAGTCAAAGACAAATATTAGAACAAGAGATGCTCCTAGTGCTCTTATCACGTAGGAAACTACAAAAGTTTCAGGAGCTCTGTGCTGGGAACTGGGGCCAGAGACCAATATATATTTTCTATCATCTCACAGGGTCTCATTTTTCTCCTCTGACAAATGGGAATGTTAACACATACTTCCTAACTAGGTGATATGTTTTGTTGTCTACACATAGTAGAGGTTCAATAAGCATGTATCCTCTTTCTTCTGACAGGGTCCAAGGCAATCTCCGGCTATAGAAAATTTTTCTTAGCCCTGCATATTGGCAGGGCTAAGTGATCTCCAGAAGGAATGAGAGGGAAATTCCCTTTTGTTGATCACCTATTATACTAGGCTGAAAAATGACCCCCACATCTTAATTCCTGGAAATTGTGAATGTTATTTTATAGGACAAAAAGGGAGCAAGTCTTTGCAGATGTGATTAAAGATTTTAAGATGGGGAGATTATCCTGGATTACCCAGGTGGGCCCTAAGTGCCATCACATGTATCCTCAGTAAGAGGAAGGCAGAGGGAGATTTTACACACACAGGAGAAGGCTATGTGAAGACAGAGGCAGAGATCAGAGTGATGCGGTCTCAAGTCAAGAAATGGCAGCAGCCACCAGAAGTTAGAAGAGGCCAAGAACACACTCTCTCCTAGAGCCTCGGGAGGGAGTACAGCCTGGCCAACACCTTGATTTTGGGCCGAGTGAAACTGACTTTGGCCCAGTGAAATAGGAGCAGAGCTGTGGCCTGGGGAGTAGAGGTGGGACAGGCAGAGGCAGGGCAAACATCCCATTTGTAAACTGAGGCTCAAGAGATGCTGGGAGT